TTGTCGGCCAGAGCGTGATCTCACTCGGACTTAAAGTCTCAGATTGACTAGAAATGAATACACTATCGGTTACCCTATTCGTTGTAAGGTTCACACCCTGCGTCCCACTCGATGAAAGTATTGTTGACACAGTGGTAATGGTAATTTGTTTGAAGGACGACTCTGTGATTTCGTCCGGATCACGAGAGCTTGTTGGAGCTGGCAATCCAGTAGTTGAGTTGGTCCATCTAGGCGTGCTTGTGGAACTCGAGCCACCCAAACTAGTTACATGGGAGACGGTGAGTGTAGAAAGCCAATTCGAAGTGCCTGTGAAGACGGATGTGCCAGAACTACCGGATCCTCGAGTAGTAGTCGCTCGCATGTTGCTAGATTTCTCACTTTGGCTAATAATGGCGGTCGAGTTTGGTGGCACCCTTATTGTTGATGTCAACTTCCTAGTCGACGTCCTGGGGGAGGTTGCGTTCGCGGTGTCCATGGAGCTGATCTTGTGAAACCCAGAGGACGATGCAAGTGCGGATGAATGAATGAGAGATGTAGAGCGTATAGTGTTGCTGTGTAGAGATTGTGGAAGAGAAGTAGCATTTGATGGAATTGGAAACGGTGGCAACGTCTTCGTTGTAACATTTGAACCTGGATCGGTAGAAAGCAGAATTGAGCTTGGCTGATAGGTGAAACGAGTTCTTGACGAGGTGATTCGAGGTCTGGAGGTAGGAATCGAGTTAATATCCGTAGATTTATGTTTAGTAGGATGCGAAGGAAGACTACTCGAAACTATGCTCGTGATAGTTCTCGTCTGACCAACGGTTGTTGTCCACGGGCTGTGATGACTGATATTGGAAGGAGGAGTAGTGGTATTTTGAAACGGGGGAGGTGTAGATTTCAGGGTAATCGTCCTTGTGGTCAAGAATGAGGCCTCTCCTGATGTTTTCGTCGGTTTTTGTGGCCTGGTAGAGGAAACGACAGTACCCCAGGCAGAGGGACTCATCCATGAAGAATCGGAGCTTCTATTGAGCGAGATGGTTGAATTGGATGGCACTGGGAATGGCGGACTTGGAGAACCACTGGAGATAGTGCCACTAGATACTCCATGGGAAAAAAGACTAGTCTCCGTTTGACGGGAAAAGTTGACTGAAAGAGACACAGTCGCGGTTGTAATACCTGTGACTAACGAGACGCTGCTTGGCCTTGATGAAACGGATCCTAGCAGAGAGGAGCCTTGTGTGGCAACAAACGATGAAACAACCGTAGAACTACCAGTTGTACTATTAGCCCATGTGGATGAAAAGTACGATTTGGTTCTTGGAACGCTATCAGTTTCCGTGGTTGACGGTATCGAAGAGCTAACAGAGCCCCAACTGGCCCTGTGGCTGCTTGTACGAGTTTCTTCAGGACGAGTACTTTTAAATGATGCAGATCCAAAGACGGTGGTCACAGTTTCTTGAGAAGAAACGATGATCGTTCTTGTGATGAGCGACATTGAAGGCGACCATGTGCCTTTAGACAGCGAACTCCACGATGAAGTTGGCACACCCCATGATGCGTTAACATTGCCACTTTGAGTGCTTGTAACTATCTGAGTGATTGTGGCGATGGAATTGGATGTTTCCGATGTGGCAGCGACTTCATTTGAAGAACTCAAACTTGCGGTAATAGGCAATTTTGAACTCTCAAATGACGCTGCGGAAGAGACTACTGAGTTGGTCACTGTCACCTTCTTAGTCACTGTTGCGGTTCCGAGTCTGCTAGACGTCCCTTCAGCGTTCGAGGTCGAGGTACTGGTCTTTGTGGCCGTGTCTGATGTCAACGTAGTTGTGACAGCAGATGTGTGACTCGAGAGGGAACTTGGGCTGGTCACGGATTCGGAGTTTGTTGCTCCGTCTTCGGTAGAAGACGAATGCTCCCGTTCTGTGGAACTGGAAGAAGTCGAAGCCCCTGTCACTCCCAACGCTGAGCTTCTCACCCAGGAGTCTGATTCTGTCGATAATAATGTCGATTCAGATGTCGACCCAGACCTGGTGCCTGCTGACCTGGTTACCGGCGAAGCGTAGGTCAATGTGATGTATTTGTCACTTGTTGATGGAGGCTGGTCGGTGACAGTCAGAACTGCTGTGCTGATGGTAATCACCGAAGTCAAAACTTTGAATTCCCGTATTGTTAGCATCATGCTCTATTTTGCCTTTTGTGGAATACTCACAAGTAGAAGAATCCGAGTTGATGGTCCAAGTTGCGGTTGTAGTTGAAGTCTCGTATTGGTATGGAGGCGGATATCCGTAACCATAGCTCGGTGGCCCATAATCCGGGGGTGAATCACGAGGGCCAACAACAGAGAGATGACCAGGCTCAGGACTGGCTCCGTATTTAAAAGGATTGCCAAAAGCCTGAGCGAAGGAAACAAGAAAATCTAGGAGGAGGGCAGGACCAAAGGCCACGAGTATCATTGGCAGCTTCATTGAGCAGACAACGAGGGCGAGGAATGCTGTTTTACTAGAATGTAGGTTGCCAATGCCGTAGAAATCCGACTTCGTTGGGGACAAAAAGAGTGTCTGAATATCCAGGATTTTCAAGAAACTAAAGAGTGTACAGGACAGGTGAGTGCCAACAAAGGTCCAACGAAAGAATAGGATCAATTTCGAAAGAGTGAGAGAAGCGGTGTCTCCAACCCGTCTCGATATCTCAAGGGCTGAGGCTCGAAAGGCTTGCGGGTACAGGAGAAACCAAGAGTTGATAACAAAAAAAAGGTACGGCCGGGATGCGAAAGATGAAAATAACAAATCTGGACAATCGCGACCGCAGAGCCTTTTCATTGATGTCAACTGTGGGCTTCACGCGAATCGTTTATGACAGCTGGCAGAGTCGTTTACGGCAGGCACGACTGGCGGTTCTTGGCTGACCTCACAGACACAGAGCACAACAGCTGTCAACGGACTGATAAACAAATTTCCCATTCACATTGATATCACATTTGGACACACAATTCATGGATAAAACCCTGGCTCACGGCCTGTGCGTGCGCCTACAGTTACTATTATGGGTGAGTTTGACCCATCTGGAGCAACATCGACTGTGGGACAAAACCATAGGCGACGTGCTTCTACGTGTCGAAGCAAACTCTTGATCGAAGGGAGCCGCCCCTTTTGACTATTTCAGCTCTGGGCTGCAGCATATTACCGAATATCCACCATGTCAGCATTTGGTGCTCGACGTGCCTGTTGCACAATACAGCTCCTGTGCGACTCAATTATTTACACGGCTGCCTGTCAGATACCTAGAAACCTGGGTAGGTATTTGAGTGCTTGCTGAAGACAGTTTACTCTAGACAAGGGGTATGCCAGCCGTTATTGATACACGTCCGTTGCTAATCGGCGGGAACTATCAAAGTGGAAATGAGTCGTGAAACGGTTCATGGCAGTTCGCCATCGCCAAGTATGCAGGCATCCGTGGAACGGTTGCACAATCGACGATGTACCTGCAAACCATGAGCAGTCAAATCTACCCATCGGTGTTCGCTTCGTTAGTTTCACAGCATCATCTGTTCCCAAGCCTCGGCCTGCATGTCAAACGGTTTTCTAAGAGTGGCGACCCGGAGCATAACAATACGCGGTCGAATTTGGTAAAATCGCCAATGTGAAAGGGTTTTGAATACATAGCTCCGGCGACTGTTGTCAAACAACTTGACGACCAACAAAGTTGGATCTCAGCATCGACGCGAATGGTGGCACCACAAGTCATCAGATGCTACAGCTGGTTATCTGTTCAAATTGACACAACCTGAATGCTACACTCGAGTTGGCTTCTTTGCGCCATATCTTTTTGTGAACATCTATTTCTACGACCTGAACCACGACACCAACGACCACGGACCCCAGTGGTAAAATTCGTCCACCTTCAACAAACGAGCCAGCAGCTGCGAAGGGGGAGCTTGCCCTGCATGATGGACTATCACAAGAAACAGTGGCAAGTCTAGCCAAATCGACACCATAGATGTATCTCCACTGTCGCACATCTCGGCTATTGGAGCTTCTTTGCCGTCTCTCGAAGAGTCGGTGCCGTTTCATCCGTCATGTTTGTGTTTAGTTCCTCGATATCTGCGGCCCACAACGCGGCCCCGACTGGTATCTGTTAGCGTCAACGATGCATGAGAATGACTGTGGAATAGCATTACCAGTATTGGTATAAGTGAAAAAGATGTTGGCGACAGGTACCATTTCCAGCAGAGTGGCCACAAAGCCGAATCTAATGGCAATTGTATTGTAAGCTGGACTGAAGAAAAAGGCTTGATGAGTTTCGTTGACGATGAAGTAATTTACTCACGCTGTGTAGGCGCCGGTATGTTTCTCTAACCATTCGCGCCGTTGAGAGGCCGACCAATTCTTCAGCTGAAAGTACTGTTTCACGATCAGCCGAGACCGCAAAAACAAGAAACACAGACAAACTTACACGACCATGAACTAGGGTCCCCCTGGTTCGAGCTACACAACCAGTTGTTAGCCTGGGACTCTTATCGGCGGCAACGCGGCGCCATACCTTGAAGAAATAAAAACATGGCTGTGCCAACCACAGGGATGAAGTTGAGAGGTAAATACATGATGTATCGAATGATGGCCGTCGGACTAAATTTCGTAAATGGGCTTTTCAAAGTTTTCCCCAGCCTTTTCATAGGGTCACTTCCGGACTTGACCTCGCGGCCCTCACGGACCATGTTGATGGCATTTCTGGATACGAGGGTGCCGTCAAAGGTGTCGAGAATGGACTGTTGCAGGATCCAGCTCCTCGAAATCATATTGGTAATGGTCGAGCTTTCATTCAATACAAGCAGAACTGTCGAAAAAACAGCCAGTGGACCACTAGTGAAGACAAGCACAGCAAGCTGTGGGAGGTAGGTAAAGGCAAACATGCCACCGATTACACCTGCAGAAAGACTGAGATACGAGCCAATCTTGGAAGTGAACGGTTGCCAGAGGGATTTATGTGAAAGGAAGTAAAAAATTCCCTGGGCAAGATTAGCCACGATGTGTTGCCACAAAGGTAGACTTGGTAGACGGTCGTGCCTTGATCGGATATAGATACGCCTTGCTCTTGAGCGCTTGATATGCCACCCCCTTGACTTTGTTGAGATCTTCCTTGCTAGGGCCGGTTAGTTGGCGAACTTTGATGACGGACGCGAAACAGCTCACAGAATTCCCTGAGCCTTCTCGTTGACGGAGTTGGCGACACGGCTGCTTCTGGACTTGCCGCTCTTGGAGTCGTCTGCCATTGTTTCTTTTTTTTTTGTTTCTTTCTTTTTCACAGCTTATCCTAGCGCAGCACTGAAAAGAGTATAGTGAGTGAATGACGAGAGTGTAGCCAGGCTGATGGCGAAGCGTTGGCAGTTTGGCGTTGATGTGTCGTGGTGTTTGCGCCGGCAATGGGGTCTGGTGGTAATAACTCATGTCGGTGTCTATGTCGTCATAGTAGATTTCGTCGGTGGTGCGCGCCCAAAAACAGGCACTGGGGGGCAGCCATCTTTGGACTAGTGCCATCAGCTAGAGTCATTACCTACTAGCCAACCATCACCAGCCTCTTTATCCACGTCGCATTCATGATTTTCACAAGAGGACTGCGATTGTAATTGATGCATAATTGATGCACACTTGATGTCAATTGACAATGAATGTCCAAGTTCTGGGGCAAGCAGATAAGCGACCATGGCCCCATGTCACTCTTACATATCCGCCGGGGTCCGACTTCCAGAGTGACTCAATGACGAGATCTCGGCCACAGCTGTTCAACCACCGGGATCTACCCTACGCTTACAAACCTCTTATTCCAACTAGCTGTGGACGAAACTAGTTCCGGGAACCGCAGCGATTCAACATTACTCCCCCCCCCCCAGCGCCTCGCAATATACGTCGATAGTGGACGCAGGCATTTGTTGTTAGCAGTTGCCAGCTTCGTGGCTCCCCCACACAACTTCATAGCCCTGTTGGAGGGGGGGAGACGAGTTGAGGGGAAAGTAAGCCATGGCCCCGGATGAAGGACACTTTGTGGCGTTGATATAAAAGCAGCGCTCAATCGAGAATGAAGACGAGGGAAAAAAAAAACCACATTTACAACCCTTTACCACGCCTGGTTGAATTCGCCGCACCTTCTGTTGAGCCGTCACTTATCATGGCGCAGAGACACCTCCCTAATACAATGCCCCTACAGCCGCTGACGGCGGACACAACGGCCCTTCTTGGGCAGAGCCTGGAGGACATTGTGCAGCAGAACCCCCCTCTGGACAAGTACGAGGACAACCTCGCTGGTCTCCTAGCCGGGCACACGGCCCTGGCGTACCTGTTTCTCCGAACGGCCCAGGAACACGCCGGCCTGCAGGTCCGTGGCCACGGGTGCAGGTACTGGGCGGAGCGGTACATGGCGGGCGACCGCGGCGCGCAGGAGATTCAAGACAAGAACTGCGGCCTCGCGTGCGAGAAGCTGGCCTTTGAGGCCGTGCGGGCCTGCGTCACCGGCAGCGAGAGGGACGTGGCCGCGTTCCTCGACAACATCCCCGGCCTGGCGGCGCCCACGCGCCATGGGAGCGACAAGGCGTTCCCAAGCGAGATGCTCTACGGGCGCGCCGCGGTGCTGTACATGCTCCGCATGGTGAGGCGATTCGTCCCGAGCAGCGCGGGTCCCGTGGACCAGGCCATTGGCAGCATCTGCCAGAGGATCCTGGACACCAGGGACGGCAGCAAGGGCGACTGGCTGTGGCACGGGAAGCGATACTACGGCGCTGCCCACGGGGACGTCGGCGTCATCACGCAAGTCGTGCTCAGCGACCCTTCTCTGGCGCCCAGGCTGGCGGCCCGTCTCGGAGAGCTGCTCGATTTGCAGACAGAGGGCGGCAACTGGCCTGCCACGGACGAGGAGAGGGAGGGCGCAGACAGGCGAGTGCAGTTTTGCCATGGCGCGCCCGGCTTCATCTTTGCGCTGCAGTCGCTGCGGCCGTTCTACCCCGTGCTTCGAGAGAGGATCGACGAGGCGGTTGCAAAGGGGCGACGGGCCATCTGGGCCCGGGGCCTGCTTGTCAAGGAGCCGTGTCTGTGTCACGGCCTGTTTGGGAACGGACTGTGAGTATAGCCCAGTCGATCGACTCCTTGTGTTGTGTTGTGAGCCGGAGATGGGCGCGCGGCTGGGCTGACTTGTAGAAAAAAAAAAACACCAGAGCCCTCCCCCGCGGAGAGAAACGAGACCATTTCCTGGCTCTCGCGACGCCGGATTCTCTGCAAAGACTGAGAAGCGACCATCCAGGTCTCTTCAAGCGGGCAAGTTATGGCACGTCGTCGTCTCCCCTGTTTAGCTACTTGCCCAGCGCGGCGTGGACCTGGGCCGTCTTCAACGAGGATGAGCCGCGCATCATTCTGTTCAATGATGTCTAGTCGCACACTGGAGTGCCCCTGACTCAGCTGTCGGAGGGAAAAATAAAAACAAAGGCAAAAAATAAAATGAAAAAGTTCCATCATGTATTCATTCGTCTGGAGTTGGTGACAAGCGTTGGAATGGCCCAAGCCAGCCAAAGGCTGTTAAGCATCATGGTAACTTCAGACCTTTGGGTAGTCTGAATGGGTGTTTGTGGCGTTTAGATGCGCAAATGCTACCACAGTAACTTTGATAAAACAAATTTTGGATCGGGTAGCGCGGGAGCTTTGGCGGTTATCACGGCCGTCCAGACTGGTATCCATGGCATGCTAAGCCATATACACTGCCAAAAGTGGGGAACTCTGCTGGTAATGTAGGTTCGCTACGGAGTAGTATCCCTCTTTTATCACAACTGCCCATATATGCATGTACCGCTGTCGCCGCAACACCCGTAATAGCCATTCATTGGTTGGGCCGGAGACATCTTTGCGAAGTTGTCCAAGTAAGTTACATCACGCCAAGTCAGGACCCAGTCGTGCAATCTATTTCTGCACCTTTACCAACACCACGGCCCCTTATGATTCGCCAGATCGCGAGAGTGGTTGTTCGATCTGGCACAAATAAGAATCAATACCATTTGGCCGGGAAGGAAGGATGATTTTAGCTGCGGGGTGGAGAGGGCGGGCGTGCATTGCGGTCTTGGCAAGTGGATCCTGGCCCGTCTCCGTGTCCGATGGATGGAGACGAGTTCCGGGACACCTTTTTATTCTTTCCGCTTTCGTTTGTCAATGCCCACTCGTCCGGTCGCCACACCGTCTACGAGACAACATTTGAGGCCTCCGGAATCGGCGAACGGGTCCCGTGTTGCATGGTTCGATTCCCACGAGTCGTCGTCGCTCTCATGTGCTTGGCAAACTTTTCTGCCAATGTTTTGCGCCTTGCTGCCATCATGCCCGGGCCGTCCGTCTATTGTCTTGGTATGAGGGGAAAAGGGAGGCTAGATCCTGAAGCCTGCTGAAGGCAATCTGTTTATTTTTGGATCAAACACACGCGTTACCCAAGTCAGAGATTACGACGCTGGCCATGTAACGCTTTGATCGTCTGGAGTCAACCGCAAAAAGATACTAATCAGGTCATCTTGAGTGCCGCGCTGTGTTGTTTTCAGACAATCTCACCGCCATGGTTGGTTTTAGTGTTGGACGATTTTGGCCTCTGCAAAATAAGACACCGGGAGAATCTGGTGGCAATTACCAGGCTGAAAGACAAGGGGTTCGAATGTTTGAAAGACAGCATGTAAGTTCATTGGAAGAACAAACCCCCGTCTAGAAGCATGGCTGGGGCGCCTCGCATCTGTAGGCCCAGGTGCGCCAAACCATACGTGATGTCACTTTTGACGTAGGGAATATAATCCTAAGCCACATCTTGCAAGAGGAACAGATAGCGATATACACTCCGATCAGGGGCTCCAGCATTGTGGCGTTATATGCCGGTAAACGGACCAACATCTCAGACGCACCAAGTCCTCGATGAGGAAGGACGTTAGCGATTGGGGAGAACCACAAAGCCCCAAAAATGCCCGCCCCCCCTTTTCTCTCTCTCCAGCATTGATTTGATCGATTTCAAGGTCGGTTTAGAGGGCACCAGTTGGCGCACATTCGCAGAGGTTGCCGGACAATTGCCGTGGTCACGATACGACGCCACGTCTTGCAGAAGAGCGATTGACCGTTTTGATTGGATCTAAAGGGATGCATAGTGCTCACTAGAAAAGCAATGCATGGTTGCAATTTCAACAACCATGGGAATAGGGTGTCGGCGTGTATTCTTAGAGCCGCCTGATGTCGGCATGAAGCGAGAATGGAGACATTAACCGGGGAATCCGGTAAGAGACAGGAAACGTAAGGGGAGGCGGGAGGGGTGAATCAAGAGACGGGAGAGCTAATGTAGAAAGACATTGTTTACTGTTTACGTGCAGGGGAAGGAATATAGTAGAAATGAAGTCCTGATACCATGGACCGGCCTGCGTTTCCAACAGGGGAACGAGGCCGATGGTGGACTCGACCACCGTGTCGGGCCGCTACGTCTGGAAACGGAGAACTTGACCATGTGCCATCGGACTAAGACGGCAAATATCCAGATACATGGGAGGTACAATAGTTGTACAAAACCCGTACAGCTTATCTGAATCGTGCCCGAGGGAATTCTGGAACCCGGCTTCTTCCTAGTTTGGGGTCTTTGCGGTAGCTCGACAGCCCTGCGATGCCCCTGGAGGCGCGGGCGCTTGGAGGTCATGAGACACGGACAGGCACACGGGAAATGGCATGCATGGTGTATGACGTGAAGGGCGAGAGGATATCTATGCGCCGCTGGCTGACTGAGCCTCCTCGGCCGGAAAATTTTCATGGCACAAATTGAGCGTTGCGGTCATGTCTCGGTGCCGAGCTCAGCGAGTTTGGCCCGGGAAACCAGGTCCCGTCATTGGCTGCACAGGTCGAATCACGGCTAATGTTGCCGTCGACAGGCAAAATGGCTCGACGCTTGGCTTTCGATTGGGGCCGGACGGAGGCCGTCCATCGGAGGCCATCCTTCGGAGCCCGAACCACCGGCCGCCCGCGAAACGGCCAACTTTTCAACTACCTGGATACCTAGGTACTAGTTAGTTGTTTCCTTATCCGTAGTTGGCTTCCATTGGCGTTTTATCCCTAGGCATCGCCAAAGACATAACCACCACGGAGGTCCATGGGCTCGTGACACGCGCATCAAGTCGAGTTGAGCAAGTTGTAGAGTCTGAGGTCAACGGGTGGCCCGCTTCAGCTCATGCATAATCCTGATTGACCCTCGTGAATACCGATCCCGACATGTTGGGCGCAGCCAGGGTTCACAAGACAAAGGCTTCGGCAGAGAAAACGGATAATCCTAAGCGGAACCGAGTCGGCTCTTGGCGGGTTTCGCGGTTGTAACCACCCACATGGGTGCATCCGTGACGTCTGGGGAATTCAAGTTTGAAGCTTCTAGAAGTTCAGTTGAACTTCGGTGGCCTTGTTTGCAGCGATTGCGGCCGGCAGTTGAGCCGGGAATCTGCAAGGAAAGTGGGTTTTGTATTTCACGCTAGAGATTTTTTCTTCTTCTTCCATGAAGCAAAATAAGCCAAGTTGCGTCACAGTTGCAAAATACACCCCCTCCACAGAAGCGAGTGAGCGAATTGCATTCTCGTGAGGAAGATTTCGACTGGCTGACTGGGTCAAGAAAAGTTCTGGTCTCAGGTGCTCCACTGAAGAGTATCCTAGGAAGGCGAGGGCCGAGACCTTGGGTGGGGCGCCTGCCACCTTCTCCTGCTTCGTCACGGCCTGTCATCTCTTACTCGTATCATGGCACAAGCAGGATGACAAACGTTTTACCCCGTGCAACCTAATCCACTCACCGTCACCCTTCATTCCGCCATGCTCTTTGGCAGCAATGTCGAAGGCTGTGCTTGGCGTAAGGGGTCGACGTCGATTCCATCGGCAGCCTTGCATGCAGCCTGCCATTCACTGGACAAGGCGTCGCCTAATGCGAAGAAGATGCAAAACTGCATCAAGGATGGGGTACTAGATGGACCCGAATGGCGACACAGCTTACTGTGTGGGCTAAAACGTTATTCCCATTGATTGAGCTGCTATTCCCCCCCGCCGTGCCGTCCGGCTGGATTGCCGATCACATCATCACGGACCAGCGCCATTCAAGTTTCGTTACACAGACGTTTTATTATTTTTTTCTTTCTGTATCGGCCACTAGGCTCTTACGACACGAGGGAAAAACTTCAATGTCAGAATGACTGCGAATGCGTTCTCAAAATACCATCGACAGCCCGTCACGGCATTTTAGCTCATCTCTCTCGCGGCAAGCTTCGTTCCAAAAAGAGCCGGAGTGCTCTCCATTGTTCGTGCGGTGATGAAGATGGAAGCAGGGACACTTCACACCTCATGCAGTCGGCCCTCTGCACTCTCATTGGCGACTTCGGATAGCTACGATCTTGAATAAAATCGGTAGGATTTTTTCTTGGTGGACATGGTTCAAGGCAACTCAAGGTCGTGTTGTATTGATCGGAACGAGATCGACATGGCCCGTCCAACGGCAGCCCTACAAAACCGTGGACACTATCTCGAAACACAAAGGTAAAAATGACGAACCACATCGGGAGGCCAGCGCCAGCCTCGGCGAGTCGCAGAGAACCTTGAATAATTGGTCACGAATGATTTATGCCGATTCCGCTATCGGGGGGTGTATAGACAAGAGATACCTGCCTGTTGACTTCTGGACGGGTTACGCGATGAGGCGCACACTAGGGATTAGCCCAACGACGATTTGGTGCCCGGAATACTCGACCGAATATCGTTTCGATCATCAATCATTTACTGATTAGAGTGAGGCGCCGACGGATAAAGAGGTCAACTGATTTGCGACAGGCTCTAAAACTGGGAACAATTACCGCATCCTTGGCAACCACCCATGGTGTGAAAAAACCCTGAACCCCGGGCCCAGCTTTGCACATATGTTCTTGATGAATTTCTCCATGATATAGTTAATCAATGCCGAGGGCTTCACATCAAGCGCGAAATGGCAACAAGGCGTCCCGTAGCCGGGTGCTGTCCGCGGACTTTGATTGAGTCGGGGTCGGTTGTACGGAATCTCCGGACTCCACCAACTGCATCCATCATGTATCGAACACCCACACACCCCGGAGGAGAGAGCAATGTAAGTCCGTGGATTGTCAAGCCACGGCGTTGTGGTGCGAGCGGACCATTGGCAGCACGCTAGGGCTTTGTCATTTCATGCACTCGTGGCTCAATCTCTTGGTGTTCCCTGCAACTCACGGCCCGCCAACCGCACAAAGACGCCGGACAAGGAAAGACTAAAACTCTCTCCCGCCAGACTACCTTGGGTTGTAGCTCTCTCGCAGCTTGGACCCAGAAGAGAGGAGTTCATTCACCGGGTCAGAAAGAGGGGAAAGGGACAACGACAGGTCAGACGAGGTAACGCTGGTCTTGTCCGCATTGGTACTCTGCGTGAGAAGCGTCCTCCAAGCCGGCAATCAATCAATCCTACCCAAGGTGCTTACCTACTACCAAAGGTACTGAGTACCTAGGTAGCCAGCCACATATGCTTGTCTACTAGGTATGTAAGCTGTCGCGAAGGATTACCAATTCGTTATCCAAGTTTAGTTACCTCAACTGCCTATGCGTGGCTCATACTAGACTGGTCTGGCTTCGGACCCAGCGAAGTGGAAAGACCACGCAGATAGGCGCGACGAGACGAGGGGGTTGGCTTTTCTGTGGCTCCGTAAAGAGCATAACGGCGAGAGATAGCCAATCCAAGTGCTGACTTGCTTGGTTGGTAATGCTCGACTGTCGCCAAAATGCCCACCGGCACGGCACTGACAGCCGATTACAATGCGCCTCGATGACCAAACGTGGTCCTGAGGTTCTGCTGGGGCGTCCAAACAGAAACCTCATCGTCTCCTCTCCACATGCGGCCCCCCTTTTCAGAGTTCCAAAGCTTCTAACGTTGGGCATTGTATTAGCACTGGCTGCTCAAACGGCGTGTGGAATCCTAGCTTTGTGTGCGACTTCAGCCATATGCACCAACCTGAGAAGAGAAACAAGAATCTACCTGCGGAAATGCTCGGCATCTGTTCATGACGGTTCTGTTTCTCACTGCAAAGAGGCTCTCGCATGTTAAATGCGCTATAGGGAAGGACTCCAAGCTGTCCTGGTTGCTAAGGTTTAGTAACTGTCGCCATGGCAAGGTCGAAACTTTGCCGGGGTCAAATATGTTGTAACGGGATAATTTCAGACGTTGCCTTTTGACTAGCGACGATGGTGCGGTCCTTGTTCCTGAGCGGGAGTCGTTTTCATCGTTCCATGACGAAACAAGACTGAGATAGGATTCAATACCGTCTCTGATGTATCGTAAAGCTTGTGGGGTTGGCAAAAATTGGATGAGAATGCGGGCTCGCAAGACACAACAGACGTCCAGGCTCCAGTATTAGTCCACACGCAACGGAGCGTCTTATCACATTGGTCTGTCGATGACGAGGGCACGCGGCCGGGCAGCACCACTTTATATGCTACCAGATTTGCGACTCACGCCGAAGGGCATAACAATTGGCATCGGCGTTGTGGCGGCACGATCAGGGGAGTATTATACGATGGACACCTCCAGGCCATCAACTGGGTTCCGACTTGGCAAATCAAGAGAGACATAGCTTGGCTATGCCAACGTGCAAGGCGTGATATAGCGGCATCTGGATATCGTCCCTCACTACCAGTACCAGGGTGGCCGTCGTCGTCATGCACTCCGAGCGGCAGGTAAGGCCATGGCCAACTGGATTTAAACGTTTACACTGTGTACTAACGTTAAAATTAGGCGAAGACGGGTCACAGAAATGACTTGGCTGCCAAGAACATGAAAAGAAAAAAAAGAAAGACAAGCCACAAGAACAAAACAGAGTTGGGGCATGCGAGGTCCATGCAAATCTGTGGCCCGCGGCTCCAAAGGGAGAGGAAAATCAAAGTCAATGATGCAAAAGGGCCGCTGTATAAGCGGGCCAGGTACCATGCTCAACTCACGCCAGTACGGAGCACCGATTCAACTAAACAAACAGACGAGGTCACTGACGAGGATATGACTGGAAAAAGCTAGAGGTTAGCTGCCCAGACAATGGGGTCAAAGACACAGACATCCCGGTCGCGGCAGAGCTTGGCTGCGTCGTGGCATGTTTTGGCGACGGGTGCTCAAGTCCGCCAAATGCACCATCAATTGATCAGTAATAATGCAGGGCTGACAAGATCTGGAGGTTGAGGCCTGGGGAGGCTTTAGGTGCTGGGTCACAGGCTGTTTTCTGGCCGTCTACTGGCCATCCCCAGTGGGAAAGAGTTGAAGCCAAACTTCGCTTGGCCCCACCCGCCAGCAAGCTGAGTGCTAAGCTACTTGGCCGGTACGAGATTGCACAGGTATGCACTGGGACCCTCGTGTCTGGTCCGTCTCTCGCCATTTCGGACATAAACACGCCGCCGACAAGGTGTTGGTGGCTAAGCACACCCCCCCCGTCGCGGATACCTCCACGGGTACGGAATACGTACACCGTACTTGGCCCTCGCAGTCACTTTGGCTGGCCCGCCCAAGCCCAGAAAGGCGCGAAACGCAACCGGCGTCCCCCTCGAGCAAGTCGATTCATCACTTGCAAAGCCATCCCTGACGATTATGTGAGACTGAGTCTTTGCCCTGGGGACATGACAGTTGGCGTACTATATACTCTGGCCTCTGCCCTACCCAGTCCTTAATCAGCTCGCGCCCCTCTCCTCTGGCCGTCGAGTCATTTTCCCAATACGTGTTGCTGTGGCTGTTTATATAACCTGCCTGGTGGCACCAACACCCTCCTTCGTCTGCTCCTCCAGTTTTGCCCGAATTACAAACGGTTTGGCAAGGATACTTTGTCATATTACAATTGCTTCGCCGTTTCTTATTGTTTGCTTTATACCAATCCCGCGCCCTCAACCTGATTCCCCCATCACACACAGACACACGACGCTACATCATGGGATCACATAGCTTGCCTTCGCCCCCGGCGGAGGAGAATAAGTCGGGAGCTTCTAGAAAGAGCACGTCTACTTCAAAGTCTGTCAAGTCTACGAGTCGTGTTTCCAAGCGAGCTAGTGCCAGTGCTGCTGCTGTTCACCATCATGACCACGTAACTCACGCTGCCGGCATGGATGGCCGACATAAGCGAGTATGGAAGGCTTGTGAGAGATGTAGAATGAAGAAGACAAAGGTACTGTGAATCATGTTTTCACCTTTTCTTTTTCTGAGATCAAAACAAGATGATTTTTTTTTTCAGGCTGACACGAGGTAATGACAGTGCGATGGTGAATTCCCTTGTAAGAGATGTAAGGATGACGGCCTTGTTTGCACTGCTGGAGTCCGTAAGAAGGTTGAGTATAAGCAGCTGCCTCGAGGGTATGTAATGTGCATCATGATGACGATTCATGTATCCAAATCAAAGATTTCCTAGTTGACAAAAGTTGAAATGACCAGGTACGCCGAGGTTCTTGAAAACACTCAATTCGCCCTTATTGCCACGGTTCACAAGCTGTACAACATGGTCCGCAACTCACAAACATGGGACCTTGGTGAACCCGATCTCAACGACCGCGGCCTCCCCGTCATCCATGATATTGCGCAGAAGCTCGGCTGCATCCGGCCCAACAGCGACATCGACCTCCCCGTGCACTCAGTGTTTCCCGAAGACGAAGCCGGCATGGTAGAACTCGCGCGCCAGCTCGAAGAACAGCAGAACAAGGACGGCGACAGCCAAAAGGACATTAAGGACACCGACTCGTCCAGCTACCAACGAAACGACCGTGCCTCGTCATCGGAGCTCGACCATTCCGACTTTGAGGACTATCGCAAGGCGGCGTTTGGCAGCGGCAACGCCATGACGCTATCACCCCAGAGCTTCGCCGGCAGCAACGACTTCGACTTTAGTCCTACGGTGCCAGAGATGGACCCTAGCGTCATGTTCGCCTCGCAAAATCAGTCCATGCCCAACTTCTCCACATGGTCCATGCCCAAGTCTCAAAACAGTGGACTGGCAATGCACTTTTTGCAACAGGCAGATGCCCTGCAGAGCATGAATATGATGAACCAGACCATGGTAGATCCTGAATTCGGCACCATCAAACCCGATATCCTGTCATGTCCCAACCCTGACGTTATGATGGGCATAGGCGACCCCATGATTTACGGCGGGTTTGACAGCGAGTCGATGAGACTCTGAGTGTGCCGAATAGTTAAGGATTACAAACCTCCTCACTTGTGTATGTATGTGTGAGCTGGACGGGTAATAGCTATTTATTCCAATGGGCTGGTTCCAGGGGGGAGGGGCTTGCAACAACAACCCGTGTACAAGAGACGAGAGCACGACAGGCATAACTTTTTTGAGCTGCGGCAGGAGAGGGAGTTTGATGCAATGGGGAAAATCGGCGTTTATCATTATCTAGTGGTTCCTGTGCGAAGTTTCTTTTTGGGATTTCCCCATTTTCAGCATTGCATTTTTTTTTTATTCTTTGTTGCTTTTTTGGCGTTGGTAAAATCCGATGGGAGTAGAGGGAGGCTATAGAAGTCGAGTCGGGAGGCTACAAATTAGCCCCGTCATTGTTTTATTCCTTTGCAGGAGCCACGATGACAGAGTTGCTGTGATGAGTGAGATTGGCTCCCCATGCAACATTGAGCAGCTTCGATAGACGCGCGCCGGGACAAGTAATTTCACAAATTCTTGCGTGTATTGATGAGTCATTGTTCTCCGTTGGTGACTTGTCCTCTATTCACGGCATATGATTGCCATGCAGGGCCATTAAGGAACCCGATCGATCGGGCCCCCGAATAGCCTATCCAAGGATCGATTTCGAGACGGCGTCCTGGCCCTAGTAGGCGAACGACTCCAATGCTTCCCAAATAAACTCATCACGATGCCACCTTGCCATTCCCAGAATTCAAACTTGTGGCCTTGGGGTTTTATTTTTGCTCCTCCCCAAGCTTGCTTTGGTTTTTTCTGGCAGCCCGTGCCATCACTAATCGCAATGTCCATGTCATCGTCATTGACTCCCACGAACCTTTTACGTGAAGAAAAACTACGTGCTAGCTGAATTACATGGCACTTCTCCACAGACTCTCGTCTACTCCATATGCCTCGCTTTGCAGATCCGGGTGGAATATCTGCATGCCCAAGGAACCATTTCCATCCCCCTTAGCCTCCTCCCCCCCGCAACATGGCGCATCTTTGAGAGGCGGTGCCACCAAAGCATATTGGCTGCCGCAGCTATTTTAACCTTCTGAGCTCTCGCAGGCGGCGGGCTCCAGATGGTCTCATCCTGCACCACGGGGGTTTGGCAGGCCATCATGTGGCGGCGCGCGCTGGGCGCTGGTTTGCCCGGCCTCAGCCACATGAGCTGTTGTCCTTGCGGCCTCGATGGAAATTCCAAATCGGCGCGCTGGTCCAGCGGTGCCATCAAGGTTCAATATTGGGCGAGGAAACCGCCCATCGTCTAGGCGGACTAGCTGTCGCCGCGAGCCCCCTTGCTGCACGGGCATGGTGTGATTTTGGAGACGCTCCCCCGCCCTTCCTTTGGGTCTCACTACTGTGCTGGTTACATGGCGTCTTGCTGGAGCAAAAGATCAGAGGGGGATTATATAACCCCCCTCGTTGGTAGTATTCCACCTCGCGTGCTGCGAGATTCAGAGTTTCGAGCCATGGCAGCCACGGCCTGCTGTCCCGATGTTGCTCGGGGGGTTTGGGCGCCGTATTGGCCCCGAGGGAGTGCGGTGCGGAGGGGGGGGGCACTTCTGGAAAATCTGATTACTATCCGGTGGTTTCGCTGGTGACCTGTCAAAAGGGGCCCTCCAAGGCAGGTGCCAGAGTTGGAGCTGTCTTTTTGATCTTGTTTTGGTGGCGGCAGCTCGCCGTTTGGGTCCAGAATCGCATATGTGTCGGGTGTAAGCTTTGCGCCGGCGCGGGCGACCAGCGTGTGGCGGCATGCGGCGTAGCGCCGATCTGGCGGGACCATCATTGAAGATGATAACGCTGCGAACCATTGGAGGAGGCATTCTTGGGCCGGTACGTAGCAAAAGCAGTTTGTCCGGTGCACCTACTCAGAGGGCAAACACCAGGCGTCCTGGGGGGATACCGTGCGGGAGTGCGACTATCGGGGGGTCGTTGTGGACATGTAAGAAGAAACACCAAACGTCCCTGTTGTACGTTTTGGCGCCGATGAAACCCGACACTGCAAGTCTCTTGATTGGCGCGAGAGCTTTGAAAATGCAAAAGAAATCCCAGACGGCTCTGGAATATGGAATAGCCAGTCGCCGGTCGACAGGGCGCCGCCAAGCTGCCAGCAACGCAAGGACAAAACAAGCGGCGTTCGGCGTCGTTCCCGCCCGGTGTTCGGGCTCTTGCGAACCTCCGGGGCGGATTGGCTCACGGGCGGCGGGTATCCGAGAGGTGGACATGCGCCGTGAAGGTGACAGGGAAAGGGGAGGTGTGCGGTTAGCAGAGAGGTGGAGCCTGCGTATATACCCCTGTTGGGGACGGAGTAGTATTGCCAAATCGGGTAATGGTATTGGGGCCGCTGACAAACTCGAGCGCGCGCGCGGGTCTCTGTCGTATTATTGACGTTGAGTGGGTTTTGCGCAATGCGGATTATGCTTGAATTTGACGATTTTTGACTCTAGCACGGGTGAGATTTATTTTTTCTTTTTCGGTGCTTCGCATTTCGAAAGAAAAAGTCAAAGATACATTCAGGCTGGAAGGGGGGGGGGGGGCCGGG